GAACGCAATACCTGCAAAGCACAAGAAAGTGGAGCGCAATAAAAACAAGGTGTTCCTGTACATTCCTTCTGCTTCTGTTATGTAGCAGCAACCATATGTCCTCATGATAATCAGGTCATCAGGTTCAATCACCTCTGCCAGGATAATCTCTCCCCGCTAAATTCGTGAGTGGGGAGTAGCTAGGCACAATTGCTAGGTACAGAGGACTCTACTCTGTGAGCGAATATAGATTCTCTCTACACATCCTTTCACCTTTAACTCCCACTGCTAACTGAGTAGTCATCTCCTTGTTTTCCCACTTAAATTCCTGAGAATGAGTGTTTGGTAAGGTTACATCATCCTGATGTCTAAGCCACTGGCTCATCTCTGGACTGGCCAGCCTTGAAGCAGTTGCCCATTTGCTTGTTTCAATCAGCTGAGGTCAGAGGGGTTGGGGGCACAAAATACAATTTCTGGGGCCTGGGACTGCCTCATCAACAGGGGTTTGCCCCTTTCAAAAGGCCTACAGGTGCGGCTGGCACAATGTTTGACCTATTTGCTAAGGGGCTATAGTTTGGTCACCTGCCAGTCACTTGGTCAGTTTCTGATAAATTTACAGCCCACTGAGCCCAGTTTCCTAATCTGTAAAGGAAGTCAGTTGGGCTCTCGAAGATCCCTTCCTGTGTAAAATGCCTGATAACTGCCTCTCCCCTCAAACTTTTGTACATTAGCTATTGTTAATCCAGGACTCCCTCCACACTATGCTTAGGTAATTTATTTTTTGAACCTAAAATTTCACTTTTCAGTAAATACTTGCTTTTATTACTTTTATGACATTTAATTCTGTGGCTCGGAGCCATTATTCACCCTGTTGCAATGTCTGAATCTTGAATTTGCCTTTTGATGTATTGCTTTTCTTTTCAGCTCCGGGCCATCAGCATATATGAATAGCTTTCTGTGTCACCATTTGAAGTAGGACCAAGGACAGGTCTGGGGCAAGTCACCAGCGACCTATCCACACTCTTTTGCTTCAGTGATCAAAGAGCTGCAAATCCCCTTAGTGGTGCTATCAGATGTCTCCTGTTTCTTCCTCCTGAGCCTGAAGCCATTGCAACAGACCTTTAAAGAGGCCTTTGCTGAAGTCCACACCTACTGTGTCTCTAGCACTTGGTTGAGGTCAGACTATCTTGAAGGTTACAGATGGGAAATTGTGACTTGCCCAAAGTCACATACTGTGGCAAAGCTGGCCTTTTTATCCTTGCATCATGTTTTTTCTATTACATCATACTTCCTCCACAGTTCAGGAAATGAATCTATCGCTGCTCTAACAAATGACCACAAAATCGGTGACTTAAGCAATACGTATTCATTATCTCCCAGTTCTGGAGGTCAGACGTCTGACACAGATTTCGCTAGATTCAGATCAAGGTGTTGGCAGGGCTGGGTTCCTTTCTGGAGACTGGAGGGGAGAAGCTGCTTTCCTGCCTTTTCCAGCTTCTACAGGCTCGTGGATTCCGTGGTTCCTCGTCCTCTTCCTCCACCTTCAAAGCCAGCACCTGCTGGTTGAGTCCTTCTCATGTCCCATCTCTCTGACTGTTCTTCCCACATCAAATCTCTTTCTTCCCATGACGGAAAAAGTTCTCCCTGTCAAGGACTCACGTGCTTAGGTTGGGTCTCCCAGGATAAAACAGGGTGATCTCCCCTTCTAAAGGGCCTTAACTTAGTCACATCTACATTCTGTCAGTTAAGTAACATATTCACAGGTTGTGGGGATTTGGGTGTGAACATTTTGGGGAGGCCATTATTCTACCTACCACTCCCAGAGGCCGGTGGGTTGAAGTAACGGAGACAGGTGTAACCTGACTTTCAGAGTCTTAGGAGACTTCTCTGACTCCCTGATGTTGACTGGACTTCACCAAGGTTGGTACGGACGAGCCCCTTTCCACATAGCAAATTCTTCCTGATGCCCTCACAGTTGGTCTCCCTCCTCTTGTCTCCTGTCTCCTTGTCTCTTGTCACCTATTACCATTCCCTGAAATGCGCAGCAGACAGGTCAGGAGAGGGCAAGAAGTGGGCTTTGGTGTTTGTCCTCTAGGATCTCAGATGACCATAACCATACTATGGTCCTGGAAAAGCTGAAATGTACAGCACCGACCCCTCAACTCTTAAAAAGCCTCCCAGTGTTCCTGATATTTGGTCAGTAGAGGTGCAACGTGGAGTTACAGGTGTCTTTTCTGATGTCCAGCCTCGAAAGGTAGTGTGAATGTCAAAATTGCAGAGACCCCATGTGACACACACAGGGAAGAAGAAGGATCTCGCTCTCCTACCCTATGCATGAAGGAAGGCTACGAGATGGTCTAACACGGAAGGGAATGCAACGGAGGGGTGCACTTGAGCCCATCCCAGTTTCATCTGGGGACCCCCATCTTTAGCCTCATCAAGGGTCAAGTTGGGAAGCATGCCCATGGATTCTTTTTTTTGAGTGCTTACTGGAAGCTTGGCTTTGGCATTTTACCTGGCATCCAGGTCATGCTCACCTGTGTACTGGTTCTAAAAACTGAGACATTATCTACAGTTAACGGAACTCCTCCGAATGTTCCTGCAATTGATTTGCTCACAGGCTGCCCACCCCCACCCACTGTATACCACAGACACAAGTACCCTGACTGTCCCCACCAGCTGCCACCAGCTGCTCTACACACTCCCACTCACTCTCATGGCCCCTAAGGCCCCCAGGGAGTCACCAACACATACCACCCACAGGCTGTATCTGGGGGAGGCACTGACAGGGTGCCTGGGGGAGGGAACTGGGTTGTTGGAAACTTTAATCAAGCAGGGACGGTTAACAGCTGCAGGGACACCTTAGGAAACAGTGAGCAATACTTGCAGACTCTCTCGCCATGATCTTTGAAGACTTTTCTGAAAATGGCCCATCATTCCCTGTCACGGAAAAAGACAATAGTGACCACAGGCACCCTTCAGCCACAGAAGGCTTCATCCTCCGGGGGGCTTTGACATAGCTGCTTACCTCACAGACACCCTCACAGACTGCAAAGTCCCCAGACACGCTGCCCACACACACACACACATACACCTGCCTCTCCACAGACACCTTCCTCAGGTGTCCTTTGTCCTAGTGGCCACCTCCTCTGGGGCAGGCTAGGCCATGCTGTGAGGCAGAGCCCTGGGGCCCATCGCAGCACCCTGCCACACACCACCAGTCACACAAGCTGTTAGCGTGCAGTGAACACCTCTCCCTCTTCCTTTTTCCTCCCCACAACTGCAGGAGGCGGTTCTGAGGGGGCAGATGTCATCCTGCTAGGGGGTGGGTTTTCCCCACCTCCATACCTTGTCTTGTTGGAGCTCCTTCCCATCCTTGGATGTAGGCCCTTTCCGGGTTCCTATTAGGGGTGACATCCTGGTAAAAGAACATTTCGGAGCACTGCTGGGCACCACCGCTCAGCAGCCCCGTTCCCCTCCCCCGGCTCCTCTGTCCATCAGCCAGGGCTGGAAGTAAAGGGGTGACCGGGCTTTTTTTTTTTTTTTTTTGAGACAGAGTCTCACTGTGTTGGCCTGGCCTAGAGTGAGTGCCATGGCATCAGCGCCTAGCTCACAGCAACCTCAAACTCCTGGGCTCAAGCAATCCTTCTGCCTCAGCCTCCCGAGTAGCTGGGACTACAGGCATGCGCCACCATGCCCGGCTAATTTTTTTTTTTCTATATATATATATTTTTTAGTTGTCCAGATCATTTCTTTCTATTTTTTAGTAGAGACGGGGTCTCACTCTTGCTCAGGCTGGTCTCAAACTCCTGACCTCGAGCGATCCACCAGCCTCGGCCTCCCAGAGTGCTAGGATTACAGGTGTGAGCCACCGCGCCCGGCCATGACGGGGCTTTTTAAAGGAAGAATTTTACTAGGAAAGTAATAGGAAACCAAAAACAAACCAAGAAAATATGAAAACCTTGGCTGGCCCGGAGTCTGCAGCTCAGCTTTGGCTTTGCTTTGTCCCTGCCTGACCTTGCCTAGGACGCCGCAACCTTTCTCAATCCCTGTGCAACCTCCTTGCTCGTGGGCTCCATGGTCCCCTACAGGGGTGCACGGGGGCAGTGCTGCCACAGGTTTCCACAGGTGCCCCGGCTGTGGCCTGTGGCATTCCTCACCCGCACCCCCGCCCAGGCCTGTTCCAGAGCCTCTGTCACTGGATTCTGCCCAGTGTGGATGCAGGGGAAGCCACAGGCTGGCAGGGGCAGGATGGAAATAGCAAGGGGCTGGCTGGCCGCAGGTGTGGTCAGCTGGACAAGTGTGCAGGGAAAGGCTGTGAAGACGGGATCTGGGGGTATTTATGGCAGAGAAACAGTTTGGTCTCAGGTCACTCGCACCCTCCAAAGAGCTGCCACATTTCAAGCAGGGCTTTTGAGAGAACCTCCCTGGGTGTGGGATACTCACTCAGCAATCGTGGGGGCTAAGTGGGAGGGGAGCCAGGTCCACCTTGAAAGCCTCTAAGTTGATGGGGGACATGAGCCCCATTTGAGGAGCCACCAAATAAGGGACCCTTTTCTGGGAACACACATCTCCTGGAAACCCCAGGAGGATGAGAAGCCCCAATCTGATGGGGAGCATGGCGCCTCACCCTTGAACTGAGGAGATCGTCTGTGGTCACTTGGGCACAAAACAGCCCCAACTACACATGGATAAGGCCCAGCGGACAGGGCAGTGAGGACGGAGGGCGGGCACGTCAGTACAGATAACCCACATCTGGGGTTGGGGGCCCGGCATTGCCAGTGTGGGTCTAGGGTGCATGAAGGGGGGCACAGGCAGGACACAGGGACAGGCCCAGCCCCTACCTCTGTGCTCTGGACCTCAGTGTCCCCTCCCGTGCCCCTCTGGCGGGGCCAGGGATGCCTTCTGCATCACTGAGCCCATCTGTCTGAGGCTTGCTTACACCTTCCTCTTTTGTGTCGGGAAGTCGGAAGCCAAAGTGCTAAGCTGTGTAGTCACTGGGGGAACAGGGAGCCTAAGAGTGTGAAGGGACGGAGAGGAGAGCACAGGGGGGCTTGGCGCAAGTGGATGACCGGTAGGCGGGCGGGGCAGAGGGGCTCAGGACCATGGCTGAGACCATCACGTACGCGGACCTGCGGTTTGTGAAGGCTCCCCTGAAGAAGAGCGTCTCCAGCCGGATGGGACAGGGACAGGGTAAGGGTGGACCAGGTGTCTCCTAGATCCTCCTCATGACCCCAGCCCCTACCCCAGCCCCTTCCCGACTCCCACCTTGGTCCCTCTTTTATTCTCTTCTCTGCAGTCCCCGAGGCTGACGAGGACGGGGAACTCACCTACGAGAACGTGCAAGTGCCCCCAGTCCCAGGGGGGCCCTCGAGCTTGGTTTCCTCTGGACTAGGGGACAACGCAGGTCTGGAGAGCCTGGGGCTGTGTTTTTTTGGGTTGCCGTGTCTCCGCAGTTCTCAGGAAAGAGAAGGAAAACAGGATAAATGGGAGCGGGGAGAAGAAAGTTCCCTGGGCCAGGTGGAGATGGGGGGAGACAAGGGCGGGGAGGCATCAGGGCAGCCTGGTGGGAAGAAGAGTTCGAGGACGGGACGCAGAGAGAACCGGGAGAGAGGAGGGGTCGGGGAAAAGACAAGGAGAGACCCAGGAGGGAGCTGAGAGGGTCGGGGCAGAGGAGGAGCTGCGGAGAGTGGCCGGTGTCCCGGGCACTTGCAGAGGGCAGCGCGGGCGGGCGGACTGGCGCCTCCGGGTGGCGGGGCTGGGCGGAGAAGGGGCATCACCGGTGCTTCCCGTCTCCGAACTGGCCGCTCCCTTCGCAGGGGTCAAGGCGGAGCAACCAGCTGCAGCCTGGCGCTCCGTGACGCCACCGGCTGCCAGGCTGGCTCTGTCCTGTGAGTAGCGTCTGGTCCCGCCGCCCCGTGCCTCTCCGGGCTAGCTGGGGGTGGGGGTGGGGGGGAGGTCCTGGGCCCCACCGGGGCGCTGTCGCCGGGATGGGCCCGCGCCCCCGCTGCCCTGCCCCTTCCCCATCCCTGCCCAGATTTTGCCTACCTAGATCCCCTCCCTGCTTGGGATGTCCCCAGTCCCATACCTCCCCACCCTTCCCCTCTTCCCTGCTGGGATTTAGTGCTCCCTGTTCCCAGGTGATGCCCTTCAATCCTCCTTACCAGTAACAATCCCCAGCTTTTATTCTGGAACACCCTCCCTCCCCGACCTGCAAAACACTCCACTAACGGCCGGGCG